TCCATCCATCCATCCATCCATCCATCCATCCATCCATCCATCCATCCATCCATCCATCCATCCATCCATCCATCCATCCATCCATCCTGCTGCCTGTCTTCGCTAGGCTATTGGCTTGAGGCAGAGTAAACCCTGGACAGGTCACCAGTCTGTCACCGGGGAACACAGAGAAACACTAAGTCAAAGAAATACAACCATGCACGCGCAAAAGGGAGTGTGCCTCAGCTTTTATTTTATTTGGATTTTGCTTTTGCACAACTGGAATGTATGATGCAAGAGACAAAACATTTATACAGTGGAAACAAAAGAAAAACGTAAGTTTCAGAACTCTTCGGATGTAGTAATGTTACCAAATGCTTAGTTTGAGCATGCTTAAACAGATTCTTTCCATTGGTGTGGTGGGAATGTTGCTTCATGTGGTCAATATTGCTTCTCTGAGACATCTGGTAAGATTTCTGAAGTTTGTTTTGTCCAGCGCATTTCACCCCAAATGTTAGTTACACTGAAATTTTAAAAATTACACTGACATTTTAATAAGCTTAGAGTCCACGGAAATGGCAGTTTAACCACATTTACTACTACCCCCTTGAAGCAAAAAGGGTTATATAAGATTGCAGTTCTCACCGCATTTGTAAAATTGATATTGTGGATTTTGTATAAATAGATGATAGTTGGAGTAAACTTTGGTACTAGAAGTATAGGGGATTTGCTGACTGCCCATTCTTTGTTTTTTTTTTTATTTCATTGAAGTAGTAAGGAAATTAGGTGAGAATCTACACTGCAAAAACTATCTAGAAATCAGTCAATATTTCTTAAATGAAGTGTATTTACCCTTAAATTGGTAGGCAAATAAGAAGATTTGCCAATGGAATGTGTATTTTTGCTCTTCATATAGGATAATTGAAAATATGCACTTGAAAATAAGACAATGCAATTATTTTCCCTTATGTTAAATATAAACTGTCTTGTTCTATTGGCAAAGGGTCTCACTTACCTCCTCAATACAAGAACAAATGCACTTAATATTAGAAAAAATGGCATCCATGTTTATTATTTTTTTTTGTCATAGGGTGTTGATCAGTTAAAGGTCTTGTGGATTTTTTTTTGCGAATTTTTGAAAAGACCTGCCCTCTCCACTTAAAAAACCCTGTACCCACTCCCGAGAGGGAATGCCTATTAAACACGTGCAAGAGCATGCAGGGGTCCATTTCGCCTTGCGCAGGCTATGTTTAAAAGTTGCTGTTCTCATAGCTCATAAAAGCTTACTGTGTTCGAGCCTCCACCCTAACCCCTAAGTCCCTCAATCACTATATAGAGCGGGGACTATATAATGGACTTAATAGTGAACTCAGTTACCTGACCTTTCAGACAGATGATCACTGCTTTTTGCTTTCTGTAACTCTGCCTCCACTGCGCGATGCCTGGGTAATTTTTATTAGTCGCCGGGTTACTGTGACAGCAAATCCCATAATGCTTTGCGAGGAGATCTCTCCACTCAAAGCATTCTGGGATATATCTGCCTCTTCTGAGGCCTTTCTTTTCTTCTCATACACTTTGTAGACACTTTTTCTCTTATGACCCTCAGCCATTTTCAAAGAACTGCGGTGAGATCAATGACTGACGGAAACCGTAGCTCACCACAGATATATGCCTGAAAGTGCATATGTGCAGAAAAAGATAACTAACTCGGGCCGAGCATGAAGGACGGCCTTATGTAAACATACCACCGGAATGATTGACAATTAGGAGGACCACTTATTTAGATGATCCACCCAGAAATAAAAGATCGTTCTATATACCAAATAAGCTAAAATCCCTACTGTTTTTTCCTGAGGAAGAATGTTCTTAGATTTTCCATTTGTAAATTGTATCAGCAATCTCTCTTTATAAATGTTAAAGTGAACCTGGAGTCCACTCTTTCACCACCTTCCCTCAGCTATTCTATAATCCTTTATTTTCACTTCTGACTGCTGGAGCTCTTCTCCACAGAGACTTTTTCTTCCCTGTGATAACCTTCACTTTAATTAGGGCATTTGAATCACTGATGTCCGAATTTTAAGAATAAAAGTTATCTTTCAACTTTTGTGCACAGTTACAAGGCGGCAAAGTGGAGATAAGAGCTAATCCGGTTAAAGGATTCAGTAGCATTGTCCCTAAATATGTTTTCTTAAAATATGTAGAAAAACATCATGCTAAAGTTTTAATTCACTTCAATAATTTACCTAATTTAAATATCTGTTCCCAACCTGTAATTTTTCTATACTGGGTCTGATGGTTTTGGTCAGTAATGTACATTAAAAAGATACATATACTACCATTCTTTCTACAGGACTCAAAGGACATTGAGAGTCAGCACAACAGATTCAGTTATTTACTTTATGCACATACCCTTTCCTTGCTTATGGGACAAGAAAAAAGTAATGGTCTTGTAACTGTATTTTGTATCCATCTATTGTAAATATATTACATGTTCTCACTTTGTTAAGAAACAAAAGGCCTGGAAAAGGCAGAGAAAACATTTTTCTTTTTATAGAAGACAGGTGGGATCTGTGGATCCCAGCTGTGTTTATGTGTAATCTGTTATATAAAGCATGATGTCCTTTAATCTTAGGTTATGAGGAAGGCAATAGACAATAGTGAATGGGATTGTTTGAAATTGTTCTTTTATGATCAAGACAGCTTTGGAAATTATACCTATGTCATATCTTTGTAGGATTATCTAATAATCCACATGGAGAAAGTTAAAATATTTTCATGTTTAATTTAAAACATAAAAAATTGTTAATGCAAAAATTACTTCGGTTATCTTTGATATATGACAAAATTGCAGCTGTATATATTTAAACCTGTAAAGCAATTGATGCCTGAAACTCACTATTAAAGAATTTGCACAAATAGATTTATGTTAGAGTTTATTAGAGTTTCTGTATGGATGTGTTTTTCTTTTTATTCTTACAGAACACATTGTATTGTTTTGAAATTCAATATGAATGCAATCAATTTGTTTTTACCATGACAGTAATGCAGCAACAAGCTCAATGTCCAACAGAGTTAAAAAAACAATTTCTCCTATTTAATTCAAAGGTTTGCTCTGTCATTAATCTCCACAACCAGACTCTGTCCAAATTGAATTTTAGCAATTTCATTCACCTCTGCAGAATGAAACAGAATCAAGGAACATACAGTATTAAAGCCCAGAGGTGAGAAAAATCAACAACACTATATGTATTAAAAGAAGCTTAAATTAGTGTCCTTGTATTAAGAGCAGCAGTATTGGTGAGCTGGCAGCTCACGAGGGTGTGCACTTTGACTAATTGTTTAAATCAGACTATGAATGACCCTTTGAGCTGTTGCTGCCTTAAATATACCATATATCCATTATAATAATGACTTGATAGCTTGATGTCCTAACAGGATACTTTTTTTTAATCATAGATTTTTATGGAGTAGTTTCAGCCAAATAGTGTCATACAGTAGCAGCCATTCGAAAAGGCCCTCCCTTGTCAAACGGCAGCCGAATGGCAGCCAGCTTCCAGCCACTAGAGTGACCCCTCTTTCTCCTGGATGTGCATATTTTTTTACTCTGACTCCACCCTTTCACTGAATTACAAGGTCTGACCGGGAGAAGGCACTTCTCTTTAGATCTTAATGTCCAAAAATCATGACAGAATATTTTAGTACAAAGATTGATGTTTAAAAGGGAATTGCAGGGGACCAGCCAAGGGCCCATCAAGGAAAGTGGGGAAATTTTGAATGGCTGCTACTGTACATCAGTTTGTAGAATTGCAGAAGCTCATCAGATCTGACTGAACTTTGTGGTGAATTCATTACATTTTTACTTTGGACTAAGGTTATCTTTTAAATTTTTCACATTTCTTTTCAGCCAACATTTACATATGCTCACTGTGCTGAAAGAGATCAATAAATCATTCTAGGATCATTAATTCATTGCTGATGATAAATGATTACAAAAAAAAGCAAAACTTGGTAATCATATTGTGATGGTATTAAAGATTCCCAACCTTACATTGTTTCATTCAGAAAGTTGTGCCAAACACCTGTCTGACAGGTAATTAACCAAAAAAAAATATTTATTGCGTATTAATAAGATTTTAGGTTTATATTGTTTTGATGATAAAAAATGACAGAATCAGCTTTGATAAAATTATGTAATGTTGACTATTAGTTTTAAGGGAGCTTCTGCAATAAGCCTGTTCTAGTGCTCTATAGTGGTGCAGTTGTTAAAACCACAGGTTTGCAGCAAGATCATCCTGAATCTAAATGTTGGGCTGAGGCTTCCTACATTGGGATTCATTTTCTCCTTGTATGAGGTGTTGTTTTGGCTTCTTGCCATCTTCTACAAACATTCATGTAAGGTTATGGATGTGCGTTTGTGTGTCTGCATGGCTGTTTAACTTTAACATTAACAAAGCATTGGTATTACCAGGATCTCGCTGTCTGATCTTTCTGTAGCTTATTTTTATGGATTGTACTATTTTCTGCTGAATCAAGGATCCTTTAATCTTATCAAGGAGTTCTAATTATGAGTAATAGTGGTGGGACTCGATTTACCTTTTTAATCGAGTTAATTAAAAGATCTGTAATAATCAATCGAAATGAATTGCGTTCTAATCGAAAACCATATAATCAACAAAATACACATCTTCTATTCAAAAACCCTTTTTAATACTCAATAAATTATATAGGCACAATTATTTATATATATATATATA